AGGAGGGCGGATGAAAGGTGAACGAACCGAAGAATCGTGTAACGTGAACGACGTTGGCGCATCCACGAGGCCGGGCCAAAAAGACTTCTGGCTCGTAGCTGGCAATGTTTGAAGTGCCGTCGCCGGAAGCTTACAAACACCGGCCCGGTGTTGTGACATCGTATTATGCCAAGCGAAACTTACGATCTCGCTAGATCGTTAATTTGCGATCCAGCTTTACGACGTCTAGTTTGCACCGAACCACTGATGTACTTGGCAAAAATTCGTCAAACAACTAGCCCACCAATACTTCATATAATTATCGCACAATCTTGTTTTCCTCCATTCTAGGCAAATTATTAAATCAAATAACGAATATAATTTATATATAATTATACATAAAATTTTAATAAGAGAACGAATACAGTGCAAAAATGTTGCATTAGTTACGTAGAAAAGTAACTTCTGTTCTTTTTCGTTTCAAAGTAAATTAATAGATCACAAATATATATTTTCTGATGATTTATTCTATTTGATCGGACAAAGGGCCGTGTCGTTGACCCGAGAGTTTATATAATTCGTTTCTCTTTCAGTTCACAATTATTTTCACGGCTAGAATTGTCAAAAGCGGTTTGCAAATGTGGCAGAATATACAGAGATCGCGTGGAATATACCGCAGAAGTGCATCAGGGGGTTGACACTGAAAAACGTTCTCGAGAAATCTGTCGAGGCGGTTGGCTGGAACACGTGGTCACCTCGTTAATTCGCTAGACAGCCATTAAATTAAGCTCCTATACCGCCACCGATGAATGCTTTGAACGAATAGGAAAAAAGAGAATCGACATAGCTGGATTCTTCAAAGGACAAGAAACTTTAAGATACTTGGATTATTATTGGTGTACTTGCTGGAAGAAATATGTGCAGAGCTTGGAAAGAAAGTGGTAAATGAAAAAGAAGTAATGTATCTTGTAACTAAGGGTTTTAATCATTGGATATACGTCCATAGGATCATAGTTTTTCTAGAAATATTAAAAATTGCTAATGATAATTTCAATTTTGTAAATAATAAGAAGTAATAGTTGGAAAATAAGGGAAATACCGTTTGATAAATTACATTGTTTTATAAACAAACAAATGAAAGTTGGTTTATTGTTTCTGATGATTTAGCTTGTTTGCACTACATACAGAGTTCAACATGACTAAAGATAGAGGGCCTATAAACACTTCTGTAGATCAACAAATGAATGAGATTTAGAACCTCAGGATAAACTTATATCTTTGATCCTTTGTTTTTGATCATATTTTAACTCTATTTGATATAGAGAGAAACAATAAAATTTTGAAAACAATAATTATAAATCAGCAAATTAAATAATTCTTATTAGAAAATTAATATATTAAATTATATAGATTTTCAAAATCAATGTATCAAGATGAGTATTGAAAGATTGAATTATGCTTTAACAATTTACTCTGTTCCTTTCAGCAAGTGTATCAACATACAGCAATGGAAGTCAGGTCGTGGGAGAGGAAAGATCAGCATAGGTCGACAACGTGAGAGGCAACTTCTCTTATCACTGCCTCGATAAAAGCTCCTCTGCTTTTCCTTCAACTTATCAGCAGTTCGTTTATTTTGAATAACTAGTTCGCGTGTCTGCCCCAGAATTATCGTCTCATGACCACCTAATAATCATATTCTGCCTTCGATATTGCTTTAATTTAACTCGGCACGGAGTATACTCCTACAACTGGCCTGATTTAGCCTGTTAGCCATAGTAAGACGAGCTTCTATCGATTTCTCGAGCTCGCTTTGTAAGTCTATACCACATCCAATCGATCCACAGGTTGAATCAAATATAAGTTCATTCATGGAAGAGGGCTATTCAATAAATTCAACGTCTATGCTCAAAGTGGATGATTCTACTTTCTCGAACGAATTCTTTGAATTTGAATAAAGAAGATTGACGAGAGTGACGATTATTTAGAAATGGAACGGTTAATAATATTCGACGAAGACGCAGATCGGATAGTTGCGAAATTTTCGAGGTCACGACCTCCATTTTTCTCTTTTTTCTTTCCCTCGTATGCGACGATAAGCAACGCTGCTCAACACTCTCGATTATCGGTCTCTCAACTGAACGTTGACGAACGTTAATTTGAAAATCCATGAAAATTCAATAATATTCAATGATTTAATAATAATTAAACTTCGCAATAATTCTAATAACGGGATTAATCGCCTAATAATATAATTATAAAAATCATGGAATACCATGTAATTATTTAACAAATGATCTTTCATGGTCCTCCATGAGTTTCGGTTACAGATGGGCCGTATAAATGATTAAGATTGAAAGTTACCCCAGCGACGGGAATGACGTGCGAGACCATCCTTGGTTTGTCCAGGTCGTAATTCATAAAAATGCTGGCCGTTGCAGCTGCATTTACACTATGCTGCACGGCTAAGTCCTCCCAATAGGCGGGCAAGCCCTCCACTGTTCAACACTGATTTTTTCAAAATGTTCTAATTTTTTTTTTTTTTTTAGAAAGGAATTTGTTAAGTTTCTCAAAATGCACTTGCACAAAATTGTTCAAACTAACAACTGATCACTGATCACAAGCTACACCTTTATATAGTTGATGTTACATCTTTAAGAGGAGGCTACCTTGGCACACCAGAACAGCATCGGGATGGTGAAAATAATAATTCTTCAAACTTGTTGATACGATCTGTAACAAAAAAAATGGAGATACAAGTCGTATAAAATTATATTATAATATTCACTCTTATTTAATTTATTGAATATAAAAACAATTTCCAAACAATCTTATCACGCTTATCAATATTTATGCATCCTACAGGCCTAACATCTTCTTCGTCAAATAGGAAATAACCGAAATCCTCCCTTTTCGTGACAAACGAAGTGAAGCTAACACAATTCCCTTCAACGATTCTCAACATGGAAACTCGTGTTAGAAGCTCAAAGCCGCCGATTCGATGGGATAAGGAGTTTGACACGACTTTAGAAGGGAATTCGTTGACGAGTGAGCAACAGCTGAACACTTAGAGCACGAGGAAGGAGACCCCATCCCGGGGGAGTCGTTGAGACTTCCGGCGGCCGCCGACAGAGGATCCTGAATATGTCCTCTGACGGACACGATCGTAAATTTCGACAATAAGAGGATATACATGGCCAACTCATTTATTTTAAGTTTTGGATGCACATTAAGAATATTCATGTCGGTTTATTATCGCTGCTTTCATGAGCTCATTAATTGGATATCGGCATAAAAGAGCTGTGAAATCTCGCAGATTAATGTTAATCCGGATCATTTTTTTCTTTAACAATTAAGATATTGAATATTGAAAATTAATTAATAAAATTTATTGAGAATCTAGAATACGTGCAGCGTGATTAAAAAAAACACGATTGCGATCCGCCATTGTAATCAAGGATCGTAAAACTTGTGAATGGATTCAATAAATATCTATTAATTAATTTTAAACAGAGAAATAATCTTATAATTGTGGAAAATGTAAGTTAGGACTCAATAGGCAGAAAATTAATTAACACCAAGCTGAAATCAGTAAATTAATTCAATAATGAGTGATTCTCTCTCTGTTGAAATCTTTTAAGAATGTATTATATATTAATTGATGCCTGATTTATGGAAGTACAGACAGTTGTTTTGACGTAATTAGGAGAGCCCCTTATCTCTTCTGACAGAAGGAAGAGCCGTTTATCTGGCTGTTTACTAAACACACGCGTTAAGTTCATAGAAATTCTTACTCGATCGAAAAACGAAGTTTATAAACTCACTTCTGGCTATGATATTTTAGACATTTCAACAATAATATTGCACGAAATCCATCTTTTTATTTTGGCTCGTGTGTATTACGATAGTAAACCATCTCATTCATAAGTTTCTTCATCATAAATGAGTTCTTGTAAACGCAAACAACGTTAGATCAACAACGATTCGGAATTTCTAGAGGTGATGAACTTTGCACATGACGTTGCAGACGAGATCGTCGACATCCGACGGCGTCGCAGGTTAAGATCAAAACTTAAGTCCGAATGCTCCCTTTTTCTTTCTTTCTTTTTCTTTTTTTTTTTTCTTTTTTTTTTAAATTATGAAATTAAAAATAGTCAAAGTTTGCACGCTAAATCTTTGAAAAGCGATGAAAGAGACGAGATGTTCTTAATGTGCAGATAATTTTTACAATAATTTGATACAATCGAAAAAAATTGTATCTTTAGGTGAGAAAACAATTTTGATATATTCTGTTCTTTTCTTTAATGGATTTTCTTTATCTCTTTAAGGCCCTTTAAACTTTCTAAACAAATCTCTGGATAGGAAAAAGAGAAAGAAGATTATTAATAAAAAAAAAAAACTCATACTCATCTCCTGTACGTATTTCTTCATTAAAATAATCCAAAACACTTCATTCTCTATTTTCGAGAAACGAAAATAGAAGATCATTAATATCTGAAAGCTTTAAAGACCCTTACTATATTAAATAATCACCAATAAAAAAAAATCAATCACATTTTCTGCAACTGAAATCACAAAAAAGAATCAAATGCCTACATTCAAAATAAAAGAAAGAAAAAAGTTATCACTGTGTAACCAAAAAAAATAAAAAAAATAAAAAAAATCACCACAATACTTTAATAAAACGATAAGCGAATAAAATTCTTATTGATGAAAAACTATTGAACGGATCACTAAAAGCTTATGAAAACTATAACAAACTAAAACAAACAACTCACAGTGATTAAGAAGTGAAACAAGCCTACGAATCTTCAATTGGACGACGAAAGATGGATCACCAGGGAAGTTTACCTCGTTCTTAGCACTGCAATTGCGAGGACGAGGTTTTTTTCTTTTTTTTTTTAACACTTGTGTCGAATCGCGATCGCGTGGAAACGGTCGAGTAGCAGCGGAAACACGATGAGCTTGAGAGGAGAGCCAACCGAGATTGAAACTAATTGAGAATGTCGAAGCGGACCAGCGAGTGTTTCGAAGCGGGTGGAGGCGCACAGAGGCGGAGTTTCGTGGTCACCGAGCCGTCCAACTTATCAGAGACCTCCCACGTCTGGTTCTCCGCCCCTTGTGACTAGAACAGCCAAAAATCCTGTCTTCGTAGGCTACTTCCATACTCTCTGACTTTATTGTTACTCGTTATTAAGGCAATGTCAAGTACCCATAAAATGATTTTGATAATCTTCTTTACAGGAAATCGAATGGAAAAGAAGAACAAATGGTGAAATGCATTTGTTGGTGAAGGAAGGAAGAATTATTTTTATTGAGACTGAAGAAAGAAACAACAGTTAAGAATAAGAATGTCTGGCTATTCGTTATTGTTGATGCGTTGATTTATTATTTGTTATACTTCCAATGGGAAGTTTGTAAAGAGAGTAGAATGATTATTAAATGGTATGAAACAAATATTACATTTAGAATGATAATATTATTTATTTATCAGGTTTTACAAGTTGTTGAAATTTCTGAATATAAAAATGTCTTGAATAAAAAAAATAATTAAAAACGAATTATTGGATATTATATTATAAATAAGATTAAAATATATTTATTTATTTATTCTGAAATTTCAATGTTACATTAATTTATATTAATAAAATCATATGTATCTAGGTATTGTGTACCCAAGACTTTTTTACAATCACATCTATCTGACGTGATCCTTCGATTTCGACCACGGCAAAACACATTTGTTGTACTCTACTTTAGAAAGAATATTGGTCCAATATCGGTCATCAAGTGTAATTATGTAAGCATATTTAGGTAGCGCTTAAGAAATCACAATTAAGCAATCGTGTTTTGCATGATAATCATTACCTAGAATCCTGAAGGAATTAAGGTCATCGAAAGAATTGCTGAACTCAATGAAAAACGCCTGGTCAGGTTTTAATCGCGCCTGGTCTGATCATTGGATTGCCGTTTCCACTTTGCCGGTTTTCAATGCGCACGCGTTCATTTGGATCGATACTGTGCAAAGTTTATATCTATCTGTAAAAAAAGCTTCATCTTATCAATTATTACATTCAAATTATATTCTATATATTAATATATATTTCATTTTTCAAACCAAATATTTGTAGAAATTAATTTTTTTTGTTTCAAGTGAAAGATATACAAATTGTTCGTAGAATCGTAAATCTTTAATATGATGGGCCTTTTTATTTCAAAAATTGAAGCACGCAGTTAATTTATCCATTAGAAACGTGTTTCTGATCAAGTTCCGTTTTTCGTGTTACACAAAGCATAGAGGGGAAAGAAAAGCGGTCGCCATGCTTTGGGCGGAGACTGCGAAACATTTGCCTCCTCCATTGGATGAAAAGATCGATCTGGTGCATCAGCTGCACGCGCCTGCTCAGTAAACGTCCTCTAATACCTCGTGATTCGTTTCGCTACGAAGTACTTACAGATTCCTACTGTACAGAATATCCTTTCACTTCCATAAAAACAATACCCATTGTTTCCCGGATAGAAAATATGTTTGAAGTACTTTTATTAGAAGGAGACTGTATTGAAATTTTTTTGAAGCAGATCTGAAGCATTTCTATATTGCTATAATTAAACAAATTTCATAAAAATTGTATAGTAATTAAATGTTATTCTAAAGTTATTGTGAATTTTTTTTTTTTTTTTAATAAATTTCAGGACAATTATAAAATTGATCAAATGAAATATATATTAAAATATGATTATTTTTTAAGAAATTTATCATTGAAATTTTTAATTAAATAAAATTCATTAATAATTTTTATTGAAAAAGAAGATATGATTTTATTTCAAATTGATTTTTTCTAGATCTCGCAATCAGTGGTACAATCATTCTAAGGAAGAATTCCAAAGGATCAGTTTCTTTTTATGGCATCTTTATCGGAATCGAAATCTTTGGACAAATAAACATCTTACAAGTTCCCAGCCATTGATCGTGAGCAATATAAATACTTCTTACTTGATATAAGTATAATTCTGAGAAATGGGACCGTGATACGTGCCACTGATTACGTAATGATTTAGGCAGGATATTGATAACGTCTGTAAAACCGAAGGGGTTACATTTCTTTAATTCTGTCTCAGAATGATTTTTTAATCATTTTAGTAAATATTATATATTTATTATATATTTAATTTATTACTAATATGAATTATCAGAAAAATAATTCTTAAGATTATAACTTAAAAAGGCTTATGTATTATTCATATATATATTATTCATATAAAATATTATTAAAATTTGTTCTTTCTATCTCTATTGGATATTTTCATTTTTATAGAATGATTTTCTTATTATTCCTTCTTTTTTTTTAAATATATTCTTTGTGTTCAATTTATCATTGATTAGAGATTCATTTATCTAACGTTATGTCACATTGATAAAATATATGTAAAAATTTAAAGAAAAGAATTAAGTTGATACATAATCTTTTTTTGAAAATATAAAATATTAAATATCGTAATCGTAAATCTAAATATTATGCATTGATCATACAGTTACTTGATGTTTTAATTTAAATTTATATAGAATTTTTATCATAGAATTTACTATATCACTCGGCACTATTAAGTCCTTAAGTATTGAACTATTCATTGAAATTTCCTATTCGAAAAAAAAAACGATGGCCGGATATTTTTCAATGGTGATAACGGATTGTTGATCTAAGGCTAAGACTCACCGTCCTGGATGTTGTCACTGTAACAGTGTATTGTTAGAGTAGTACAATGAGCGTGTTTAACAATACCGCCGGCCGATCCAGCCGATTGTTTCCTCGCCTCTTAACGTTACTGTTGCCATTAGCCGCGGCGATTGCGATTAATTTGCTACTAAAACAACGTGTGCCTTGCCTGTCCAATTATTATCACGTGCACGATAATCTATTACAAGCGAGCTGATTATATCAAAAGAAATATACCATCTCTCAATTTGTTTGAAATAATTTTTAATCAAAACTTATGCGTACATAATACTTTAATTATTTTATATAAGCTCAGCTTAGATTCTTATAGGCGAGGAGTAAGGTAATTATTTTTATGAGTATAAGCTATGGAGAAACTATAAAAATTCCTGTCATTCATTCGTAACAAGTCACGCTTATGAAGAAACGATAAATTATTAGGAAATTCAATCCTTCGGTCCCTTTAAAAATTATAACTGACCTAACAAGCGCAAGGAAAGACGAAAAGAAAGGGAACTCTTGTTTTGATTAGGGAATGTCAAAGCAAACTGACTCCGTAGCACTGGGCTGCCCTTTTTTCTTAGTCTCTCCCTACCAATTTTATTGGATTTTTATGGTGGTTTGTCGTGACTGGTCGTGGTCACGTTCTATAGCAAGTCACTGCAAGCTATTGTGTCACGGTTATAGTATTCTTAAGTTAGCAAAAGATATATGTAAGCATAGAATTATTTAAAATTATCGATTTGAAATATTTTTTTTTCAAAAATACATATAGAAATAAAATCATCATTGGAGTATAAAAAATTGTTTAAAAAAAAATTATTGCAAACATTTCGTTTATTGGGAATGTCATATGAATTATATAATAAATATAAAAATTAAATATTTACCTTTATAATTTTTTTTTTTGTTATTTATGAGTAATTTTATGTAGACAAAAATAATAAAAAAGAAGATAAAATGCAAAAATTTAAAAAAACAAAGAAATAAAGAAAAATTCTTGTAATCATTGCAGTTGTACTTAAAATGAATCGAATAAATTTTTATCGTTATATTTATAATTGTTGAAAGTCGATAATGCAGACCAACAAAAATGAGCTTTTGCTCATCTAGCACCATCCGACGATGATCATAAGTACTAAATGATAACCGGTTCTCGACTGAGTCTTTCGTAACCTATAGAAGCAGAAGACTAAGTTTTAGGGAAGCATTAGTACTTGTAATTCGTCTGAATCAACGAAGAAAAAATCGAAATTCCGAAATGGATGACGACAATGATCAGGAACATTTAATAGAAGATGATTATTACACATTCCTGAATATCCCAAGAAATGTGAGTCAACACGACATTTCGAATTATGAACGTATTTTTCTTGTCCGGTTTATTGTGAAGATCAATTTCTTATTTTCCACGTGACATACTATTTCTCAATGTCTGATGTAATCGATCTCTTCGTAACAATATAATATAAACTTTATTGCTAAGAAAAATTGTCAAACACTATTATGTTCTGATATTAATTAATTTTTTTCAACATACTAACATAGTAACATTTTCATCATTTTTATTACTCTTTTTGTTTAAATCTCTTCTTTCCTAATCTAAATAATATAAAGGAATTTATATTTTAAAATTGAACTTTTCTGACATTAAATGTAAAAGTTATTTATAAATATTTTAGTTACATTAGATTTATTCATAGGCTACACAGGAAGAGATCAATTATGCTTATCGTAGGCAGAGCAAACTTTATCATCCTGATAAACATGTCGATCCTGTACTCAAGAAGGAAGCAGAAATTTTATTTAATCGCACTAAGGCAGCATATAAAGGTTTATATAGATTAATATTGTAAAAATATTTCAATCTATAAAAATATTTCAATTATATAAAATTAATATGTCGTTTATGTTAGTTTTAAGTAATCCCCATCAAAGAGCTATTTATGATTCAGTGGGTATTAGAGGATTACAAACTGAAGGTTGGGAGATAGTAGAGCGTACTAAAACACCTCAAGAAATTAGAGAAGAATATGAATATCTTGCAAAAGAAGCAGAAGAAAGAAAATTATTAAGGCTTACAAATCCCACTACTAGTATCACAATGAATATCAATGCTACAGATCTTTTTAATAGATATGACAAAGATTATGAAGATAGGTAATGTTCTGTAATTTTAATATAGTTATACATATTATAAAGTATATTGTATTTTAAAATATAGCAGGGACATACTTTCATGCATAGAAGTCAGTGGAATGTCTTTCACACAGTCCATTGAGGCACCTCTTACTTTGCAAGACATTATAACAATGTATGGTCAATTAAGTACAAGAAATGGTATAGGTTCTGGTTCCATACACATAGCTGCAAAACGATTACTTTCATCAAAAGGTTGGATAGAATTGGAAGTTGGTGCTGGAAATGGACCAACAATATCATTTAAAGGTTTCCGTTTACTACCTCATAAATTGATGTTTAATGGAGCAACAGTACTTGAGTTCACTCCAGTCGAAATTAAGGCTAGTCTTGTAGGCAGTATGTTCATTCATCTTATTAATTATAAATATCAGTTAATGAAAAAATATATATAATTTTTTAATTAAAATATTAATTTTGGAAATTATATTAATTTTAGCACTTACGATGCAATTAGACACACATACAATAGGAGAGCTTACATATAATGCAGGCTCAGAAAGTTCTATGAGCACTGGCATTGTTAGAGATACAGATAGATCTTATACATCATTTTCTATACATCTTGGTATCATACGGTCATTTATTAGTTTTAATTACGTATATAAAATGCATGAGAAAGAGATGAAACTACGCGGAAGTGTAAAGTTAGTATTAACAAATTATTTTATTCATATATATTATATATATATATATATATATATATATATATATTATATATACATTACATACATTCAATTATATATAATTATTGAATATATAATTCATATTGTATATATGATTGTATAATGTATATGTTTTCAAATTATACATGCAAATTATAATGTTTTGCTAATTATAGAGCTGGTACATTTGGACTAGTTGTAGAATATGGTGCGGAAAAAAAAATTTCGCGACACACTAGACTATCTGCAACAGTATCTGCAGGAGTGCCAACAGGAGTCATGTTAAAACTTAAATTGAACCGTTCCTTTCAAACTTATGCATTTCCTATTCATCTTAGTGATGAAGTTCTTCCAGCCACTGTGTTCTATGCTACTGTAGTTCCAATAATGACATGGGTCATATTAAAAAAAATTGTGATAGATCCCATGGTAAAAAAGCGAGAAGAGCGTGAAAAGGAGAAAGAAAAAGAAGTAAATAAAACGAGAATGATGGAAAAGCAGAAAGAAGCAGAAAGTGCAACCAAATTAATGAAAGCCACTGTGAGTAGGATAAGAGCTACGGAAGAATCAAAAAAGGGCTTAATTATCTCAAAAGCTCTATATGGAAGATTTGTTTATCCTCAACAAGATCAATATAACTCAGATCAACGGCCCATACATAGAGATGAAGTAATAGATGTAACTATTCCTTTACAATGTTTAGTAAAGGATTCGAAGTTAATTCTTTATGATGCATCTAAGGTAATTTTATAAAATTACTTACATTAAAATTAGTTCATATTTTTTATTGTAAAATATAAATTATAACATTGCAGAGTGAACTTCCAGGATTTTATGATCCATGTGTAGGAGAAGAAAAACAATTATTAATACAATATCTATTTCGTAATCAAACACATGAATGCATAGTAAAAGATAATGCACCAGTCAGAATACCATTACCATGTAAGAATTATGAAAATATTTTATAATCATAATTATAATTCTTATAAATATTAATAAAAAAATTATTTTGTTTTAGCACATAGAGTAAATACAACATGACGCATGCGCTATCATAAAAAATTAAAATAAAGTCACCGTGGTTCATGGTAATAGTCTGTACTGCTTCACTGAATTCTTTCGATCATTTTTAGATTAAACTTCTACAGATATTTTGTTGAAGAAATTGAGTGTTCATTAATCATTTGATGATAATTTTATTTTCCCTGATGTAATCATTTGCATGAAGTCCCATGTAAAAAACACAGTGAAAGAATCAGAATATTGTCTTCATAAATACTGCCTATGAAATAGAAACGAATTGCATTAGATAAGACGACTAAATTGTCGTTATATAAAAAAATCAAGGGAGAGCAAACTTATTATGCCTTTGTATAATTATAATACACATATTTTTCATATTATCTACTATTCACATTATCTTGAAGATTAATAATTATTTGAAGAATCGTTTGTTGATAAAACTGTATATCTAATATGCAATTCATTAATATATAAAATATTTTTGTTGCATAAAGTGCAAAATGTATATAGAATTATATACATTATTTTTTAGAATTCGTATATTTTATTTGTTAATAATAATAATAGTATCATATGAATTACTATAAAAAGTGTAATTGATAAATTATACGAAATCGTGTTTTAGATCACTCATACATAATTTCTTCCTATAATTGTTTAATTCGAAAAAAATAAAAAATATAATTTAAATTTTTAGTTGAATATATATGTTTGAAATGAACAAATTTATTTAAATTGAATACATTATATATTATTTTTACATATTTACATTTAAATCAAGACTTTTAAAAGCAGGTGTTGAAATATTAGACCAAAGATTGGCTAACATAGTTATTTCTTTATTTTTTTTATCAATTTCCTCTAAAGATGTCCACGAACGATCGTGTTCTAATCTGTAGGAACCTTTATAAATTTGAATTGGTCCAGAATTACCCCATTCCTATACATGAGTAGTATATAAAATAGTTAATTTTTTAACAATATTTCTTTAAATCTAAAATAAAATAAAACTATAATTGACTCACTTCTGGACTAATCATTGAAAAATATAGTTGTCCAGTTTCTCTTTGATACAAATGATATACATGTCCAGGATGTTTTACAAAATTACAAGAAACATGATGTAATTTCATATTCCAATCTGCTTCTGTGAGGATATTTTCAGCCTGTTTCTTTAGAGCTTTTATTTGCTCAACAATTATTTGCAATTTGCTACAGGCATTTGCTTTGATAAAGTTGTCTGCTTTTTCAATTTCTGTTGCCAATGTAATTAAGTCTTCTTGACATGTTTTAGCTACTGATTCTGGATCATTTAGCAGAATACCTTGTGGTTTAATATTACGCTCTACAAGAGCTACTGCTTTTTTATTAATTTTTATTAATAACAGATATTGATTATTATATTAAATAAAAAATTTAGTAATGGAAAAATTATACCTTTAGTAAGCAAATCCTTAGAATTATCCATATTGCTAGGTTATCATTTCATAAATATTTCATATTTTACTTTTAATTATGTATGTAATTATTTTATAATCATTAAGAGAATTTATAAACACTTAGAAATAATTTGTAAAAACTGTAAATTAGCCGTAATAGTAAAAAATATTAATGCAATAAAGACTTTATAATATCATAGATAAAATAGATCAAAAAATTCAAATAATAAAAAATAAACTATATTTGAATTATGACAATCTCAAAAAAAATATAAAGAGCACATCAATGTCTCTCTGTCACAAAGGTAAGTATGGGTAACTAAACTTAACTAAAGCAAGGTTATTTTATTAAATTCTTGTTCACATGGAATCATATTAAAATGTAAGATATAAGATATAAATTTTTTATATAAATATTTTAAGAATATGCAAAAATTTGTACAAGATTTTCTTTTTTAATATATATTTGTTTTTCTCAAATATAATAAATTTATACACACTCAATTCATTTTTCAATGATTGAAAATTGTAATAAAATTAAGGTGTGTTTCTAAAAAATATAATAAAAATAGAGCTGTTGGCCGATAGCGAAAGATGTCGTTTTTGCGCGCAATCATGAAATTTTGAAGACGGTCGAAAAATCGAAAAGGACTGTGTAAACAGGGATTAAGCAATTTATGTGCAAGAATTTCATACGGGACCACGCTTTAAATGATTTACAAGGAAAATGATAGAATACTTATTAGTGAAAGAAACATTGAAACGAACTAAATATAAAATTCTGACGAAATTAGACGAGAGAAGTAGTTCTTTAATGACAATGAGGTCTTTTCAAGTATAGATTTAGTAGTTATCGAACATATAAGATTATTTATAAAATTTAGCAAACAATTTACGATGGATTATGCAACTGTAATCGATCAAGCTGTGAAACAGTTTTACGCGGAAGGAAATAATGATGTGCATGCATGGCTCCTCAGAGTTCAGGCCTCTCCAGAAGCCTGGACTTTTGTCTGGGAACTTCTTGATCCTTCCAAGGTACATGGAATATTCTTTTTCTCATGTAAATATAAATATCTTGTTAAAAATAATAATTTTGATTTTTATTATAGTCAAGAGAAGCTCAATTTTATGCAGCTACTACATTGCATGCCAAAATTTCTAAGCAATGGGAAGAAGTACCCAAGAGTGAGTATCCTGCTTTGCAGGAGCGTTTAATAAACTTTATGAAGCAGCCAAATATGCCAAAGGTTGTTCTGTCTAAACTCTGTCATGCGGTAATATTTTATTTGAATTTATTCAATTTAATTTAAGTTAATTAGATAATTAAATAGAGAATTTTATTGTTATAGTTAGCTGGATTTGTAGCAAATACTTGTGCAATGGCAGAGAATGATGACAAGGATAAAAATGTTGTAGATGAATTGATGCGAATGTTATCATATAATTCTCTTCCCATGTTAGAACTATTATTACGTACACTTTCTGTATTACCTATAGAGGTAAAATATATATAAATAATTTATAAATCTAATAAAAATAATAGATAATAAATAATATAATAAATATAATAAACAATAAATAATAATATTAATAATATTGATAATATTATCAGTTTGAAAGAAGACATGAAGCAAGACGAGCCAAGTTACATGAATGTTTAGTAAATGGATGGTATAAGACAACCTGGCTTTTACAACAAGTTTTTTTAATGTGCAATCCAAACTCTCAAGACATTGATAATGATATGCACTTATTAGCTATGGAATGTGCATTAGCTTGGCTTAAAGTTGGTCAACTTCCTCTTGAGGCAACAGGACAAATATATTCCCATTTGTTAGCAGCTGCAGCATATTATGCTCCAAGCAGGTATAATATATATATATGATAATAATAAATAGAATACAAAAGTATATTTATTATAAATTAGTAATATAAAGATAAATATATATATATGTACTATATAATATAATACTATATATACCACATATATATAAATATAAATAATATATTTTATATATATATATATATATATTCATATATATAAAATTCAGTATATATATATATATATATATATATATTCATAGTATATTTATAAATTAAATTGCACAATTTTAAAGGGAAGGACATGATGAAGAAAATGTCAGAGGCTGGGAAGTTGTACAAGAATGCTTGAACATGATAGTAACTCATAGTGAGCTTCCAAAGAGACCACAAACATTGTGGGAATGGACACATAGTTTGGTAACCATGGCAAGGCAATATAATAGAAAATATTTTTGTGAAATTTTAACTGCAATTGGAGAGGCTCATAGTAGAACATTTCTAAATGCTTTAGTAGAAGAAGGAAACGAAACACAGAAATGGACTGTTGAAGGTTTAATTGAATTACTTTTACAATGTTCTGAACAAGAAGGAAGATATCCTACAAATGAAACTCGCAGTTCTATTCCATTTGGATTTTGGTACGCCTTACAGGACTATCTTCCTACTCTCGACCAGCCTTATGAAAGTCGTGCTTTGTTGATTCTGAAACCTGTTTATGCAAGATTAGTTCAAGCATTATTAAGAAAATCAACACTTCCTCTGTCTCTTAGCGAAGCAGGAGATGCAGATGAACGAGAGCTTTTCAGGTGTTATAGACAAGATGTGGCAGATGCTTTGGACTATTGTTACAGAGTGTTAGGACAAGATTTACTAGTGCTTCTAGGACAAAGGCTGAGTCAAACATTAGATAACTCCGGAAAATGGACAGAAGTAGAATCTACATTGCATGCTTTTGAGGCTTTAGCAGACAGTGTTGGTATTGAGGAATCCCACTACATTCCTGCTTTGATGGATTTGGTTCTTAGTCATATCCCATATGATCATTACCCTGGAGAGGTACAACAAATTCTCTTGTATTAAAATGGTGCATAATCAAATTATATGTTATGATTATTTGTTTATAAAAAAAATATCATGTTTATAAAAAAAATAGTAAATTTAAATTTACTTTACTTTATTTAGCAATATAAATATATAAGATTTTATTCTATGTTTTCAGGTACTTGCATGTGCATGTTCAACAATGGGAGCATATGCGGAATGGATCGGAGAACATCCAGATCCTTGGCTTGAAAGGGTGCTCCGAATTGTTACTTTAGGATTAACAAGAGGTTCGGTGACAGCACCTTTTGCTACTATGGCTTTAAAAGATTTAGCTCGAGAATGTGAGCAACAACTTACACCTTTTGCTCCATCTATTCTCAATACTATTGAACGAACTCTTCCGAATGTTACTCCAGGATGTGCAGAGGGTTTGCGATTAATGTATGCAGCTGGAAAATTATTGAATACTTTACCTTCTGTTGATGAACAATTAGCTCACTTAGATGCTACATTAGGTTTATGTATAATAAAAATTCGAGAACTTCTGCAACAACCTTGGTTTATAGCACGTGGTGCAGTGATAAATCAATTAAAAATGGCTACCATGTTTTTCTCTACATTGGAAGGTTCTATTGGAAAGGCTGTGTTAGATGGTTTATTACCAATATTTAGTCAAATCGTTGCTCATCCCGAATGGGGTCAAGATAATTTCACATTAGAAGAGATGTATATTTGCGCTCAAAAATCCTTAACGTCATTGTTGCATCCAGAGGAAGATGCTCGACCTCTGCTTCTTATCTTGGCAAACTCGTATAAGACTTGGCCTCATCCCGCTGCCTTAAATCTTCTTCGACAACTTGTATTATTGTTTGGACGAGATCCGAACAACATAATAGGTCCCATTTTCGCGGATATAAGCTCAATTACTCTATGTGGTGTTAGGGCTTGCAGATCTGTAAATGGAAATTTGTCTGATTGGGCAGAATTAATGGAAGCGTATCTTGGATTATTGGCTCAAATTTGCAAAAAGAATACCAGAATGTTATTACAAATTCCTGATCAAATTCCTGAAATGTTGCAATGTGGTAAATTTTAAATTTTAATTTACGTTATTCTTTTATTTATAAAACTTAAAAATCTATAAAGAATAAAATTTTTAAAAATCTAATTTTATTTATTACAGGAATTGATTGCTTAACGTTACCAGAAACGGGTACTGTCAGAGCAGCCGGACATTTTCTTACTCATGCTATTACTCAGAGTCCACACTTACAGACGTTCGTACAACCAATTGGTCAACAATTAGTTTCTGTGATTTTGCAGTGTGTGGGTATGTAAATAGATAAACATATTTGTAAAAATTTTGAACATTTTCGTAATAATAAATATATAATAGGAGGCGAAGTACCACGGAGTAATCTGGAGCCTCACGCAGAAGTTTTATTGACATTAAATAAGACATGCATAGAATGGACAGCACAGTGGCTTCGTGTCGCCTTCGAGAAACATGGTGCCTTATTCACAATTTCGCAAGCACAAAAGGACGCTTTCGTTAAAAATGTGCTGCGAGAACGAACGAACAAACGGATGTGTGAATTATTGCAAAATTTTAGTTTGCAGAATTTATCTTCAGCAAATAATTGGAATGTAATGACACGCAAGCAATAAAAGAGAAAAAGAAAAGGTAACAAAAAATAATTAATCACAATAATGAATTAAAGAATAAGCCAATTATTAAATAAACGCTACTCTATTCTATGTAAAATATCTTTTGGCGCGGATTGATTTGATAAGGGTAACGTTTATCTTTTATATAACAAATAATTTTAAATAAAAACTATAATGTGTATATTAAAAAAATTACATATACAAAGAAAAAGCGATAAACAAATGTATATTACATAATACATTGACTTTTTTTTATTCATTCTTATTGATCAGCATGTTTTAAAAGTTTACAAACGAGTCATTTTTCTTCTTCAATATGATGTATATACTGTAGCTTATAATAATCAATACTGTTCTTCATAAAACATTGAAACATATAAAATACTCATTTATCCTTGTTACTTCGTAATTACATTAAGTGAATATTACGAATTAACTTGGACACTTTAACATCATTCACACGTATAACGAGTTCATATGCTTACAAAAAGGAGGCAAAAAGGAAACTTTAAAATAAAAATTATTTATAATTGAGTATTATACGCATGATACTTCAATGTTTTTGAAGTTTTTTTCTGCATACATGCACCTTCATTTTTTTTTTGGAATTTTTATTATATAATATCAAAAAGAAATATATGAAAAAGAGATAAACACGTCGAAATGCATTTATTGCTTATCGACGAATATTCTTTTTCTTTTTTAAGTTGAACTTTTACTGTGATTGTTTTCTTCAATTTGTGATGATATGCAAAATTTTGCAGCAACTCGCGATTTTTTAGGTTTAATCACGGTCTGTGTATTTTGTACTTGATGTGAGGTACTTTGCACTGGTTTTTGTTTTTCGACAATTGTGCTGGCGGTTTCTACTTTTATCGTCTGAAAAAATTAAGTTTAAAATTGAATATTTACAATTTATAATTATTTCAAGGAGAAAAGATATATTTTTTTAACAAACCTTTGTAGGCAATTCCTTTTCTTTTTGTTGTATTATAGGTTGAGGATTGTCTTTGGCACTTTGATTTGCACTATCTTTACTAATAGCCTTTTTAGCTATTATATGTCTACTTTTTTTTTGTGCTTGTAAGGGTACAAAAGTTGTTGGGCATTTCTTTGTCTCTGACTTTGGTTCGTTTTGAGATGTTTTTGATTGAATATGATGCTTATACTGATTATTCTGTTTGGACGTATCTTGAGAATTAGTACTGCGATGATCTTTTTTGACCCATTCAGGAGAAAGTTGAAGAAATTTAGGTTCTGGTGGATAATATGGTGTGGTTGGTGATCTTATATTTTGTGACCAATTACTGTTCTGGGGATTAGAATACCAATGTTGAGGAGGTGGTAGAAGTATTTTCATATTTGGCAATAAGTTAGCTAACTTTAATTCCTGTTAAAAAATTGGAAATAAATTTAATTAATTAAAATACAAAAATTTAAAAAGATAATTCAATGAAATAATTAAATAAATTACTGCATAAACTTTTTTTGCAGCACTTCCTGCTGCCTGTTCGTGATTCACACATGGATCTCCCACAAATATCCTTTTGTCTGGTAGAAGAATTTGTGCTTGAATCAAATTACTTTCTCCAATACAAAAATAGCTATATCGAGGCATTCCTGCTCCACTGAGTTGATAGTAATTCAATAATTGTGAGCAATACCATGTTGGTGTCTTATCATTCTGTCGAGCATGCTGGAATAAAACAATTTTTTTTTCTTCTAAAAAGTGAAATAATATTTAAATAACAAATAAGTATTGAAATAAGTATTTACATCGAACATTTGTTGCACTAAAGGTGGTGTATCTAATGCTTTGTTTTCTTTCTGTGAATTATTTGAACATTTAGGTGTTTTACATACTCCAGATTGTTGATGTTCTTGAGCACTTCCATCAGGAATTTTTAACACTGCCTTCAAGAAAGCACTAGGATCTTGAGGCTGAAATATAATTGATAATTGTAAGTAAATTATTATAGTAAAATGAGAAGAGAATTATGTAACTATGCTTACCGGATTTTCGAGTTTTGTTGAAGCTTGTGGTGTAGCTTTGTTTAATTCCTATAAATTATATTAGTATTTAAAATTTGTTAAAATATTATTAGACACAATTAAAATAATTTCAAAATTAAAAATAATATATAATATAGTATATATATTATAAATTCGAATATATTAAAAGCAAAAAAAAAAAAGATTTAAATGGTTTTATTTAGATAAAACATCTTATATTCATAAAATACTAACCTGTTTTTTATGCAATTCATTCCATATTGCCTGAAATTCAGACGTTGGTTCTATAGATGACTTTTTCTGTGTGTTCTGAGGAAGTTGCATATTTTTCATTGTTTTATGCGATTTTCGAATATTCACAGTATTCTGTACATTGTACTGTTTAAATTTGTGAGTTAATTGATTTTTTGTCGTTTCTTCGGTATTCTTATGAACAATCCATTTTGGTGACATCGCTGCCTCGATTGGCAAATGATTTTCATTCTTATACGATGTACTAGCATTTGTGCGCGATTGTGTTTCCTGGTTAGACATAAGATTTTTCCATTGTTCTGTAGATTCTGCATTTGTATTTATAGTTTCTTTACTATGTTCTATTCTTTGTCCATAACTAATATTTATAAAATCAAGAGCTGCTAAACGATATGCGCGGAATTCAGAAGAACCATTTATACTAAGACCACCTAAAAATAATATTAAACTGAATCAAATTTATTGTTAAAGAAATAGTAAATAAATAGAAAATTACACACACCTATGATTGGTTTATCGAACAAAACATCATACATAGTATCTGACACGTTTTCCATTTTTTGTATTCCAATTACAGTTCCTTTATATCCAAGAGGTACAGTGAAATTATCTTTAATGCAACAAATTCTATCTAACAAATAAGTTTCTGCTTTTGGATCAGGTGAAAGATTGCGTACACGCAAACTTGGTGTATAAAGCAAATATGGTTGTACTTGCATATCTACAACTTTTCCAATACTATTTGGTGATTTCAGATATGTATCCACTTCTTCTTCAAGTTTTTTTACTATAGAACTTTCAACGGTTTCCCTGCCACACGTCCGGCTTTCTATTCCATGAAGTTGTTCTTTCAACCATGCCACTGTATCATTTAATTCTCCAGAACTGTAACATCAAAATATTGCAAATCAATGATCAAATTTGCTAAAAATTGACTGTTAATTAAATTACTCTTTACCCTTTAATAAATAGATCTTCCTCTTGAAAGATACCTGTGGTTGGATTTTGAGCTAATCGCTCGAACAGAGTAGGACATCTCAACATATAACTACGAATTAAATCGAGAACTTTGGGACTATAAAACCAAGGACCGTCTTCTGCTTTTCGAGTATAACCAGGAATCTAAAATTAAAGAAAAAAATAAGAATTGTTTTATTAAAAAAAAAAATAGAATATATATATATATATTTGCATACCTCCGCATTCTTCTTAGTGAATTTTAAATTAAATCCAATGTTGTGTGTAACTTCATCTTGTTGAAGTCCATTTGAGGATTGTTTTACAAAAATCGTACCGGTAATTCTGCTTAAAAGTAAAGGACTTATACCCAATCTTTGTGAAGCTATATTTCCGCGCATATACTGAGTTTGAAGATCAGCTTGAATTTGTTTGATTCCTTCAAAAGATGGTTCACGCACCGTAATTACAGATACTTTTATCCGACCTGATTTTTTACAAATCGCGGATTCGCGAACCTATCAAAAGAAAAAAATGGAACTTAAAGGTTCATTGTTTTCCTATTATTTTGCACGTCATACTTTTCCCGTTGCTCCATAATATGGATGTCCCAACATAAAACATGTAATCCCTGGTTCGAAAATATCATTAACAGTTTTGTATATTGGTGTATTATTATTGCAATGAATTGTGATATCTTTTACTATAGTCTGATAAGCATAACAACTTGGTATTTCACTCCAATGTTTTTCAATATGCACTTTTCCATAAGAACCGAAAGTGTATTTTTTGCCTACCAATAATCGTACATGAACTAAAAATTTAGTTTCTCCGATATCCACTCCGAGACGATCTTTATAGCTACAAATAATAATTTAATATTAATATTATAAAAACAGTATTAAAAAAAATTTTTTAATTACTTACGTTTCTGTTATACGTTTTTTCTCCACAGTCCATTCTGATCCATCAATAGTATCATATAAACGTTTTATTTGCGGATTAATTAAATTCATTTTCATACAAGAAGAACTAGAAACACCAATTACCAAAGCTTCCTTTAAATGTGGCCAATTTACAAACACTATTTGACCTAATAATTTTGATCCTATAGTCGTTAAATTAATCTTGGGCTGTGGTTTTATATGTAAAATCATACTTTCTCGATTAGATTGTCGTTGGAATACTTTTATCTATACATGATGACAATACTTTAATAAAATAAAGTAGAATAGATAAAATAACGAAGAGAAAATTTTAGATAATTTACTTTAGCTTTTTCCAAACTTGCACTATGCTCTATATGTTGTATAGTAGAAAAACCAGGATAGTATATATCTGGTCTTACACCAGAACACAAGCCCCGTATTAATTTTTCTCGAGGAACATAAATGTCTTCACGATTAATTAGTTGCACTTTTGCATAATTATTAATAACATTAGGAAAATATTCAGGTGCATGATACATGCCTAATTCTTCTTCTGTATAAGTGAATAAACACATTGGTCCATGTTTGTTTCTTGCTTGTTCTTCCAAAGTTAATTTTGAATAATGAGGCGCCATTGCTGTAAAATTTTAATTAATAATTTTAATTTATAGAAAAATTAAATTTTGCAATCTTTTAGTTACCATCTAATAGATCTTTTTCATTTATAAATGGAATAAGTACTACAGCCTCCCACTCTTGCTCCTTGCCATTTAAATCTGTTTCAAATTCTGATGGATAATAGTTAATTATAGGAGATTGTTCTTCAGTTAATAATGTTTGGAATGCTGATGGTAATAATTCTTTACTATAAGATGGTAACACAGCCAATAATTGTTCGAATGGTAAAAATGGTTCTCCTAATTCAAATTCCAATTTCAAATCTTTGAAATCTTTTATATCAGAAATATAAGGTGCATAATGATGTGGATAATACCACGACCAGCTACAACATCCATTGTAATAATAATTTAAATTCCATTGAATTGCTCTAACATAACCCTCGGCTTGTGAACGTAAAAAATCTCTAAAATAGTTAATATACATAGAGAATGTATAAATTAGATTACATAATTTTTGTTAATTATACTTACTCATCTATATTTTCATATTTTAGTTTATTAATATAATAATCTTTCTTGCATTGAACAAATTCCATTGTGTACATTTCACTATCTGACTTATCATCTCCACCGTCTTCATCATCATATCTTCCTAATGACTGCAAGAATCAATATTAAAAATCAAGTATTATAAATTTCCATTATTTAAATAAATAAATACGATTTAAATACCATCTCCGCGGCAGTTCTAAGTAACATATCGAATTCTTTATCTTGTACTTTCTTTGGAGAACGAATTTCTTCATTACTTGATTTTTTCTCATTGAGTTTTTCAGTTTCGATAAGAGATCTTCCTGTTTTACTTTCAAGATATTTCAAATCTGCATAATATTCAGAAAATTGTAATATATCGAAACGACTAAGTCTTTCCATGAATTTTTCGAATCTATCTAATCTTAACGTTCCCGCTTCATTTATATAACCTAAAATAAATTTTTAAATTTAAGTAACTTATGAAATATATTGTATTACATGCTTTTTTTGTTTTAGATTATCTGACCATCTAATGTAGGCATTACGTCGATATATACTTGATATAGTACAGACAATGCACCATGTATAATATGTAAATTTGGCAGATGTGGTATAAAATCATTTCCTATAAGAAATCCCATTAAAATCCAGTCATCAATTATCTTTTCTAAATCATATGAAAAAGGCAATTTTTCCTTTAATGAGGAAAACTCATGATTTATATATTCTCTTAATAGAGATAAATGAAATAGACAAAACTTTGTCTCCTCTGGAGTTAAACAAACTTTTCTTTGTTTTTTACCAAATGTCAATTCTTCCCTCAACAATGTAAAATGTATTTCATGAGTGCATAAACCTAACATTATTAAGTCTGCATCTAAACCATATAAACAATGTTTAGTATTTACATCATAATTTGGTTGTGCTTTCATATGACGTATGTAATCCATTATTTTGTGTTCTCCTTCTCCAGGAACCTGAGATCCGCTTAATATAACTTTACACTTTTGCCAAAGTTTGTCAGTTGATATTTTATATGTAATAAAATATTTTAATTGTTCATCCAGTTTGGACATAAAAAGTGTTCCTGGAGTTATACAATTAGAATCAAATCTTTTTTCTTTAGGTAAATTTATACCTTTAGCTTTTGCTTTAGCTTCTTGAATTTGTGCATCTTTTGCAGCTTTAAAACGTCTGCTTCTTTGTTGATTAATTTTCGCACGTGGCGCCACGCCATCAATCGCTATAAAAAATAACTTTTGAGGCTGGATCATGCAAAATAATACCTGAATATAACGAAATATATTTTTGAATATAATTTCTTCTGAAATGCGGAACGTAACATCCGTATCGTCCGGATGTGAGCATTCATGTATAATACCATTTAAATCTAAATATAAATTATCAAATTCAGGTATCTGGAAATAATGATAATCATATATTGATAATATGATGAAGATATATTTATTTTTAAGATATTATTTATATGCATATTTTAAAAAACCAAAAAATTTATAGTAACAGAATGTATAGAAAAAATGCAAAGAAGACAAGTATCGAGTAATGATAAAGAATCGTAAAAACATAAAGGGCAAGTACTGTTGACAACTTTTTTTTTTTAATTACCTGATAGTCCTTCAATTTTTCTGTGAGACAAGGATATCTTTCATTTATGTATCGAAAGAACTTCGGTATACCCATTTGGAATGCAAAAATCCTTTTTTAATTATTAAAAACGTTTTAAAAGATTTGCACTGTGACAGTAACACTTAACAATTTCTTCTCTAAAGACTGTTTTATAAAAACTAAAAACTTCGACCATGTAAGTTTATTAATTTTACTTCAATATATTCATAGACAATCAGTTTTGAGAAGATAGGAAACTCTTTGAAACAAATTAGAACATGTAACATAGCGCATCGATGGTGATAATTATAAATTATTTTTTTAAAAGTTTTAAATACTCATTAAAAAAGAAGAAAATATGGTTCTTTAAAAAAATAAAAAATAATAACTATATCAACTTTTTAAATATTAAAAAATATTTTATTTCTCGTTTCGAATTTAAAAAAATTTATTTATAATATTTAAATTTTTTGGCGAAAAATATGTACAACAGTTATCATTTTATTATTTATAATTCAATCTTTTATTTTTGTCATCATTATACATTAATTAGATATAATCAATATTTACTTATGATTTATTAAAAGATACGTGAAATAATAAATAATTAATAAATAAAATAATATATTTATATATTACAATATATAAAGATAATATATTTTTATATATTTTTTGTATGATTTATTTATTTAATATATATTGCACAAAATTATGAAATCTTAATTTGATAATTACATAAATTTATCGCTTATTTCATAAATGAGAAAATTACAATTTTTTTATTATTATAAATTTAAAAAATATATTTAAAAATTGTTGATTTAATATTTAAGAAATTTATAAAAATTTTTATTGTTTATCTTCTAAAAGAAGAATTTATTAAATATTTATGTAAATATTTAATTTAATATTTTTTGTCGAATGATAATATTTTGAATTTACTATAGAATCGATAAAGAAATTCAGAATGGAAGCCAGTCATAAACAACTTATTTATCTTCCTAATTGTTCATCTAGATTATTCGCATCACAAAAGAAATCATTTTAAAGTTTTGCGTAAGTGTTACTGCATTTTATTTTATTTTAATTCAAATTTTACAGTTCTATCTGATTATTCTTTAATTTTCTATTAAATATGTTGTCAACCTATCTTCTATTACTGAGAAGTTAACCTTAAATAGCATTAAATTGACATTAATAATATATTTATTATAATATATAAATTATAGAGAAATTATATTGCATAAAAATATTTTTTATAATTATACGAATAAACGATATTAAAAATGACTTCTTTATTACATTTTTATAAAATATTGTATAAAATAACGTTTGTAAATAATTTTATGTTTATCAATTTTTAGTTGCGGATGATCAATGTTGGAAGAATGGTATTGTCGTTCAATTGCAAACAACAATGCAGATGCAGAAGATGATGACGATGATAGTCCAGAGGAGGAAGTGCCTAATTACAAGGATCAATATCGAAATCTTAAAAGAAAATTAAAATTTTTAATTTATGTATGTATATTTAATATTTTTATTTATGTTTTAATTGCAATTGTATTGTTTAATAATTATTTTAGGAAAATGAATGTTTTCAAGAAGCTTTACGATCTACACAAAGGAAACTACTTAAAGTAAATAGGGATAAAAGTTTTTTATTGGATAGATTATTACAATATGAGAAGGTAGATGCTTCATTCAGTGAAAGTGATGAAACAGAATCATCTGATGAGGAAGTTACACGTCTTGATACTTCAAAAAGGTAATTGAAAAAAATTCTAATATAATATCTAATATAATATCTAATATATCTAATATAAATATCTAATATAATAATATCTTATAAACAAATTACAACTTATATTGATTTTATGTTTTGTTTTTAGAAAAAAAATAGAAATAGGCATTAGTAATCACACACCACATCATATACCAACAGTAACAAAGCCTCTTAATACAAGTAAAAAGAAGAAACCTACTCCAAAAGTGACAAAATCAAATAACACACCTATAGTAAGTAATTATGTGTAATTTTAATGAATAAGTAAATTATTTCATAAACATTTTATATTTCAGGTACAATCATCAAATAATATAGTACCAATGTCTTTAATGTCAGATGGTCATATGACACCAGAAGAAGTAGAAAGACATCTAGAGTCTCGACAAACTTACTTGGAATTAGTACCAGAAAAAGCACCACCTACTGTTCCAACTGAAATGTTTAGCAATGACCCTTCATTAGACAGGTAAAGAATAATATTTTAAAAATTTATATTCTAAAAAGTTTATAGAAATACATATATGAAATTTATATTTACAGCGAATCTAACGAAATCGGAGAATTAGAAACATCTCCGAGTAATATAGGTGAAGATTGCCCCAGTGTGGATATGATGGCTGAGTGACAAACGTTTATTCATAATTTAGTGATTAATTACAAACTGCACATTATTACATATTTCATTAATAATATCTTAGTTAACTTAACTGTATTCTTCGTAACGTAATACAAGTTTTTATACATGTAACGAGATATTTTGATCCTCTCTTCCCTATTCATGTGTATTTATAATAAATAGGATAAAATTATATAAAAAAATTGTTATATTTTATAATGAGCTTTATCTTTACATAACTTCATAAAATGATATAAACAATAACGATAACAAACTGAAATTATCATGTAATTGATATATTTTCGTTCGTCTTTTTTTCTTTTGAATACATTAAAAATATTCAGATTAAACAACTAAAATCAGTTTATAATGACCAGTCAAAGGAGTTCTGTCGAAAGTGTGTTAGAAAAAATTATAGCGAAAGTCGAAGCGGAATGCGATCAAAAGAATAAAGATGTCAAGCTGACAATAAAACGGAAACTTGATATAAAACATGATTCGAATAAAAGACCGAAATTGAGTTTACCCGAATCTTTTAATGAGGAGATACATTGTCGCATTTGCTATGATTCTTCTCAACATTTACCTATTACATATCCTTGCAAGTGTAAGGTTAGCTAATCATCAACATTAATGAAATTTCATGAATTCCAAAGAAATTAAAAGATAAAATTTTTTCAAGGGAACTATGGGTGCAATACATTTAAAATGTTTAGAACGTTGGCTAGAGGAAAGTAACAGGAATAGTTGCGAATTATGTGGATATCACTTTGATGTCAGGAGAACTCCTCGCTACAATATTTTACATTCCATAATAATTTGGATGTGCCTTAATCAACAACAACATCAATTATACGTTCGCAGTTTGAAAGCTGATTTACTTCGGAGCATTATTATTACGCCTATGGCGATAGGATGTTCTTACATTTGTATAGTTGCGGCCGATTTTTACGCAAAAAATAATTATGATAATTTTCCTCCAGCACGATGGACAACTTATTTATTATTAGCTATGATGTTTCTGTTACTTTTCTCTTATTTTATATGGATGTATATGGCAATACAATATCATCAAAAAGTCTGGTTTTATTGGTGGCAAAAAACAAGTACAGTAAGAGTTATATTGAATCCAGAAAATAGAACTTCAATAAACTACAAGTCTAATATCATATCACAAGTGTAACAATTACTGAACACTTAAATTTATAACGATGAATACTTCATTATGATAGTCATTATGATGCTCTTCTTTTGATCGAAATCTTCCCTCGACTTAATTGGGATAAGTATATTCGCACTTTACTTCCATCTGAAACTTTCTTCACCCAAATCTATGAAATGAGTAAATTATTATTAAAAAAAAAATATAATAAAAAAAATAAATGTGAATTTATTAATATTTATTTACTTACGGCTTCTGTTCCTATCGCAGAAATATTTGCAGCAAACCTAGTTAAATCTTTTCCCTCTACATATACTGGTTGTCCACGATGGAACCTAATAATTTATTTATTTAAATATAAAATATATCTACATTTTACATGAAGATGTAAAAATTAAAATTACCATCGCCTTTCATGTAAAAGTTTTCCATCTTCTATTCTAGTCTCTATCATAGGACTATCAGAGGGTGGAGGAATATGTTGTGAAGGCATGTTGATTGCATTGTAATGTGGTAATACTGTTGTAAGATGATGCAAAATTAATGTATGCATATTGTTTTAAAATTTTGTGTCAGTACCTGGTTTGCGAACAGTGGTCAGTACTTTACCGCGACTAATAGCTTTTAAATCACTTTCTATTTCTTTTTCATCTAATAGATAATTTAATTGAGCAGGAGGTGGTTTCCTCCGTTTTTCTACTTTTTCAGGTACAGGATCATTTGGTCGTCTTCGTAATTTTCTTGTCATTACAGGTTTCACCTAAATAATGAATAGAAAAATGAATATTTTATAATAATCATAATATGTTGATATACTTATATCAAATTTATATTACTTCCATTGAATCACCAGTAAGTTCCATTGTGTGTCGATCAGATTCTATCATTTTCCGTTTTTCTTCCATGTCAGTTAATAAGTTTTCTTTTAAATCTATTTTCTTTTCTTCAAACTCCTTCACTGCTGCTTTCTTTTCTAATATGTAATCTCGTTCTACCCATTCTGTCAAGTAATCACGATAAATTATATTTAATCGTAATCTGTAAATAAAAAACTTAATTGAAGAAAGAACATGATAATTATATTTAAAACAATTCTTATAGCAGAAAATGTGAACCTTTCTTTATATTGAGCCTCCAAGCGTTTTAATTTACGATTATATTCTGGATGTGTTCCATCCTTTAATTGTTGCAATTGTTTTTTTAAACTAGCTAATTTATCTTGATAAACTCTGGAAATTTTAAATTATTAAAAGAAAAAAGTTAATATAAATTTATTTACTTACTGTTCTTTTATTTCTGTGTATTCTTCAGATTTTCCAAGATCTGTCTCACTTGCTTCCTCTGTGTCTGAAAATTTACATTGAGTAAATATATAAATATTACCTATAAATAAAATTTTTTATAAAATAATTATACCTTCATCACTTTCATCTTGTTCTTCAACATCTCTGTCATCCTCTAAATATTCATCATTATCTTCATCAATATCATAATCATCTTGACCATACATAGTCGAAAACGGCGAATCTTGATATGACATTTTATAATACAATAATCATTTCTTAATATTTTATTAATAATTTTAAACTTTGTAAGTCAATTTAGTAAAGCGTAATATTAACCAAGGTTAGAATTATTAATTAATATATATTTATGACAATATTATTATAGTTTCAATTTTCATAATTTATTCTAATAATAAAATAATTGTAATTATAGTATTAGATAGTATTTATTGTGATAAATAATATAATAAATATTAGTTTTGGAATTTATAAAAAAATATTTTGACATAATCAACTGGGGGCTAGCCACTATAGAAATATTTTTAAGAGCATTTAATATATTTAAGACATTTTCATTTTTTTTAATAAATTATTTAATAACTGAAATAGTTGAATAAATAATTCACATCATTTGAAATATATATAATTATAATAAATAATTATATAATAAATTAAATAAAACAAAAATATTTGAAATTTAATATTTTAAGTGCAATATATGTAAAATTTAAATATAGAAACTTTTAAGAAATCATAAATTCATCAATTAAAATATTAATTTTAATAACAAAAAATAACAAAATTGTTGTTTATTAATTTTATATCTATTTACATTCTTCTTCTTTTTATAAATATTTTTATTCAGATTTAAAATATCAAGTATTTTTTAAATGAAATTAATATAATAATTAGAATTTAATAATTAGAAACAATGCTTTCTTTCCATGAATATCGAATATGATAAATAATCAAAATTCTTTATTTCACAATCTTTTAGTATAATTATTCTAGAATATTTTTAAATTTCATTATCTTGTTTAAATTTTCTATGTTTCTTTCATGCGTTTAATTATATTTAAAATTATATAGTAATTAATATTTTATGTTTGTATTAAATGTCATTGATAAATCATGCAATTGGTAACACTTCTTAACGTACTTCGCAGTTGTATAGTTACAGTTTTAAAATGTACGCACGAATAGCGGAACGAATTTAAAAGTAATATAAATTTTCTTCTGTATGATTCTAAATTACGCCGTTTTCCGAATACTCTATCATATTTTACTTTGAATGTACGCTATTCAAGCTTATGCCAATCGTCATTATCGGTATGTAACAGGATCATTGAAATTTGGCGGCAACATAACCTTATGGTGATCTTAGTGAGAAAGTTTATAAATGATTCTTCCTTATTTCATCTATTTTAATATCACGTGTAAAATATGAAAGAATTAGAAGAAGTTAGCTGCGAGGTAAATAATAATGTTATATTGCATTTTTGAAAATTCATATAATTATTACAATATTTGTTTATGTTATATTATAGTGATATCATTTCTAATCATATTATTTTTTTATAGAATCGTAATGTTATAGATATTCAACATTCTATAACAAAATATTTAAGTAATATAGAAGAAGATGATCATAGATGTGGATCATCAAATATTTCACGAATATATAATAATACTGATAATGTTCATGGAGGTTTTTTAAATGATACTACGTATGCTTGGCTAAGTTATGGTTGCCATTTAGTAGTTCTTAATGTAAAAACTGGTGAAAGTACTAGTTCATGGACTTTTCGAGGAAAGATCACTTGTGTTTGTCAATTTCCTGCTCAATGTGGGGAATTACCTTTACTTCTTGTTGGTTTAGATAATGAAGCAACAAGAATTAAAGATTCTATGGGTTTATTGTGTATATTTGATTGTACTACCTCTCGTGTTTTAAGAGCTATTAAAGTAAGTATTGAAATAAAACATTTAGAATGAAATAATATTTATAATATTTATATTTTTTTGTAGATGCCAGCTGGTATAGAACAAGTTTGTATTGTATCTGGTGGAACACAATGGGAAGAGTTCAATGATAAAAGACCAGAAAATATTCTTATGCAAATGGATGGTATAGCTTGTGTAGTATTACGCAATCTTCATCACCTTATGATTGATCTTCAGAGATCTATTTGGGAGGTTCCTGATTTATCTGTGATGATGGATGAAATTTCTCCTGCTGAAATAGAAATTTTAACAACCAAAGATTCCTTCCATAGAAATAATAGCAAACATATGACTTGCAATTTGCTAACTCAACGTAAGTTGCTAAAGCAATACTATTTTTCTTATTTTTTTTTTTTCTATTCTAACATATTTTCATTTTTACATTTGTAGGTATAGAAAAACATATTGGCTTTAATAGAGAAGATTTTGAATCTAATGGTTTTCTAGATGAAAAATTAACGAATACGATAATTAGTTCAACAAAAATTGGTTGTTTAATATCAGGATGTTTAGGCAGAATAATAATATGGCAAAATAATGGTTCTGTGGGATGGATTAGTATGCCTGTAGATGAAACTATGATAATAACACATTTAGCATTATTAGAACCAACAGATGATCCTAGACCTTTTTATTATTTATGGGTGGTTTTTCAAGATGACTCATTTAAGATGCCTCCTCTCTTGAGAATGTTTGCCTTGTTGTTTGAACGAAAATATTGTGATAGAGGAACTAATTTATATTTTAATCTGGAAGCTGAGCCCAGTCTTAAATTTGAGATCGAATTAGATCCAAAAGATAAAGTAATTAGTTTGTCTACAATTGAAAGAGGAAATAATCTAGATCAAACAGAGTCAGAATGTAAGAGAGGTGAAGATAGTTTGCTTTTAATTTCGACTATAAATAGAACTTTCTTATTTGATTTGAATCAATGGTATAAGGAACAAATGCCTCAAACTATCAGTGAATGCAAGAATCCAAATAGCATATTAGCCTGTTATAATACAAATAATAGGTCTTACAACATGAACAATAATGAAATAATAAGTTGTGCCTATATTCCTCGCACTCTGCAAGAATTTCCTAACAATAACATAACTTCGTCAGAAGAATTATTTTATCCAAATTCTTTATCTCTTGAATGGGTAGAATTAAGTTTATCAAAACTAACTTTTTGGCTTTCTAGAGGCGTTCAGGCTGAGCTGCTTCGTGAAATTGCCATCACAGGCCCAATTATATTAATGCAACCTTCTGAAATATTTCACAAATGTCTCTCTGTTGGTTTGATACCTTTCAACACAGAAGTTTCTTTTTCTAGTGATCATAATGTTCAGAGAGATATGTTATTATCACTTTGCTTGGAACAACGTTGGGCAACTTTTTTAATCAGATGTGCTAAAGAATGGTCAGATGGAAGTGCTGCTTACATGTATCCGAGTTTTTTAAAGTGGGGAATACAGCGTGCATCTTCTATAAAAATGATTGCTGATCATTTATGTATTCCTTTATTTGACCAATCAGGTAATAATATAGGAGAATCCGAAGTAAAAACATTAAGGTTTTGTTATCAGCAACTGGAATGTTTGTCTAACGTAGTAGGAAAATTACCTTTCGAAACAAACAATTTAATGAAACAAAAAAGAGCATTGAAACGAGTATCTATGTATTTCAAAGTACTGCTATGGTTTTATGACGTAGGTTTATTACCTGAATCACAAAATTTAGATGATAGTCTATTACCAATTTCTCTTACTTTGAAGATTCCATATCCATTTGAGAAATTGTTCACTTTGTATAAAGAGAAACGAGAATCAATTAAGAATAATAATCCGAAAGACGAAAAAGAAGAAGTACTTTTCATAGATGAATTAATTACTCGAGAATGTCCTGCTTTAAATTTACAATGGGAAAGAGAAGCTGGAGATGGAAATACTAATGGTTATTATCCTCCACCTTCCTTACAGTCATTATTAAGAAGTTATTTAACTGATTGCGATCAAACAGAAACAAATGAAATTGAATGTAAACATCAAATTACTATATATCTTCTGATGGATTTAGCTATGCTATTACAAGGATCTTATCCTGGAGTTGATCAATTAATCAAATATCCTTCCTCTTTTAAAATGAGACCAAGTCTTATAAAACTTACTCAAGCTTTTTGGCTACTTGATCATGAAGACTATCATGGTTTTCTGGACATGATGACTGGTCAATTAGTTAGTGATTCTGATGTCAAAGATTGGCATCATAAACTTGTATTAAAGACATTGATAAGAAGTAGTCAACACAAATTAGCTTTGATGTATCTACGTATAAAAAAACCACCTTTGTCATCAATTCAAGACAAAAGTACATTGATAAGTTTATCAGTAGAACATGGATTAGTCCAATCTGCTTTTCATCGCAGACCACAATCACATTATACACAGCTACTTATGTGCTTCTTTCAAGCTTGTAAAAATTATGATAAACTCGGAGATATTTTACATTTGGCTCTAGACTCTGAAGAAGAAGAAATGTTTGTCAAATTTCTTGAGGATTCAAAATCTGAAGATATAAAATTATTATATTATTTACAGCGGTGTCGTTATATGGAAGCAAATAGTGGGAATTCGAATATGTGCTTCAATTCTTCTGTTTCTAAAAATATGTATACCGATATGTTAAACGCCTATAATGCAACTTTACCTGATGTGGTGAAACGATTTTCTATAAGCATAAGTAAAACAAATTTAGATACAGGTTTAGAGTCCAGATATCCCAGACCCATGACTCATAAAAAAAGTTCTCAAAAAAATTTAAATATTTATGAAACAGTTATTAAGAAAGCAAAAGAGACTTATCTTAGAGAGGAAAAATCTGTAATTCCTTTTGTCACTGCTCCTTGGACTACATTAAAACCAAGTAATGAGAGAGTTAATATAAGTTGTGTAATGACTCCTAAAATAGTACAAAATAATAGAAAACGCACTTTAGAACAAGTTACACATGATGAAGAAGACAATGAAATGAGAACTCCAGATAGAACAAAGCGTAGAAAGTTGCTGGATGATGATGAAACAGTTTTAAATGCTGTATTTAGTACTCCATTGGTAAAACGAAAAATATCCAGTAATAGAAATACTCCGATTGAAACTCCGCATTCTATTCTGAAAATTCGACAGCTTATAAGATCCTCAACTTCTCCGACTATAGGTAGTTTACAAGAAGAAATCATGGACAGTCCCGTATTAGATAAAGAGCGTAAAGTTAATCGACAGATACGATTCAATATTAGTCAATCAAAGAAAAGTAGTTCTGATGACGAGATTAATGGAAAAGAAGATTTTTCTAAACTTAATACTTCAGAATTAAGTGAAGAAGTTTTTGAAAGTTCAACAGTGAGTGAAAAATCTCCAACTGAAAATGCAATCTTATCAAATAATGATTATACTTGCAAA